ATAAGACGATGTACGCTGTCTGTTCAAAAAATGAGTAGAAAAAATGTGTTGAACGATTTTATTAAAAAAAAAAGATAATAATGATGTATATAATGTGTTCAGTATTTATATTCAATATTATATTTGTTCACTCTGTTCACCCTGTTTACCCTGTATATAGTAATATTTAGTTTGATGTTCATTTGTTGTAACTAAAACAAAGAGAATAAAAAACTTTTTTGACTGACATTGAATTTCAATATTTCGTTCTTCGAGACCGGATTTAACTTAGATATTCCAGGTAAAATACAACATTAATTGGTCCTTCTACGCCTTTACCGAATCAACCTATTGAGACATGTCAAAAAATCGAAGAAGCGAGAGATAAGTGAAAAAATGGGAAAAGGAAGATATTCCTATCGGTAGTGAAGGGGAACAAGACAACATTTCTTCTTGTGGCTTACAGCAAGAAGAAAATGTCACGGCAGGGCAGGGCAGAAAGGAAATCGATTAAATCCAAGACTAGTAGTGCCCGTTCAGAAAAAATAAAAAGAAGAATTGATGATTCAGGCAGAAATCAAGAAGAAAGAAATGGAGCAGAAATTATTGAAAAAAGAGCAAGAGATTTTCCACTTGAAATTAGCCTTCAAATTATCACAAATGGAATGTGAGTCTTCGGATGATGAGTCTCCATCATGTGGATCAGGGTCAGTGATTAACAATGGATCTAATGTTCAGAAATGGGTAAACGAGTTCACTTGGAATGGTAATAATGACACAAAATATTGCACGTCTTGCTGTCCTCATGTGAACCATTTTCTCCATTGTCACACGCAGAAATATATCCTACTCCTCAAAATGCAAAAAACTGTCAAAATAACGTTAGGAAAAATTTCAATTCACGTGAAATGTCTAGTAATCAATCGACAATAATGACATAAAGAAAATTATGACCAGACAGACTGTTCCGAAATACTTGCCAATTTTTAATGAGGATCCTACAGAGTGGCCCAATTTCATTCACCAATTTAAACATTCTTACTGCTTTGTGTGTTTATTCAAAAGAGGAGAATCAAAGCAGGTTGTAGAAATGTATTTAAAAGTTTTTGCCAAAAAATAACACAAGCATTATTAATACTTCCGCAAAATGTAGATGAAGTAACAGTGTTATTGGAAAATAGATTTGGTCGATCTGAATATATTACTTTATTACTCGATCGATTGAGAAAATTTCCAATAATTAAACAGGACAAATTATATTAAACAAATTCTACTTCCCAAGTCACTGATATTGAAATCAATTGTCATATTTCATCAAATAAACGAGTGTTACTGAAAATTTCACCAGTCTCTATTTCAAACGACAAAAAATAAATTGATACATAGCTCTTTTGGACGATGCTAGTACCATAACTTTAATTTATGAAGATCTCGCTGATGATTTGGACATAGTACTATGATTTAGATCTTGTTGGCCCTCAAAACTCTTCATGTGTCCAATGAACAAATAATCAGACAGACGAGCAGGATGATTCAAGAATTGTTGTTTTCAAAATATCATCAAAAACGTGTAATCCTTATTCGAATTTTTATTTGAGACATGTTCGAACAATGAAAAATCTTTCATTGCCAAAACAAACTATCGATATCGATCAGATTTCTTTGACATATCCTTATATTGACAACAGAATATGATTGTCCTAAAATCTTGATTGGTTAAGACAATTGGCCATTATTGGTAAGCAAGAAAATAATTTCGGGGCCTTGGCATGGACCAGCTCTTACAAAAACATTGTTAGGTTGGGTAGTTCACGGAAATTTACATCAAAGTAACGATGACATAAAAAAGTTCTTTTTTTTTGCGTATTGCAAATGAAAAGATGAATTAGACATTCTCCATTACCTGGTAAAAGAACAATGGACAATGGAATCGTTTCCTACTTCAAGACAATTTTTATCCAGATAAGACCTCAGAGCTCAAGATATCATAATAATCATCATTTACCGGACATGAAGAATAATGCCCTGAGAAGACTCGTTTGTACGGAAAGAAGAATGCACAAAGATGAAGAGTTTGGTGGAATGTATTGCGAAAAGCTTGAACACATGACTAAGAAAAATTATATATCGGAAATTTAAAACAATGCGGAAGATGATCTCAAAATGGAGGAAAAGTCTGGTATTTGCCACACTTCGGTGTCATGAATCTAAACAAAGCCAATAAATTACGAATCGTTTTTGATGCCTCTCCAAAATCTAATGGTAATTTCTTAAACGACTTTCTGTTGACAGGACCAGATTTGTACAATTCACTTCAGATAATTCATCTGAATTTCAGAATCAAAAGATATGCTTTTTCAGAAGACTTGATGTCTTGATGAGTGAATGCCCGGAAAGAAGACAGATCAGCATAGAGAAATTTATACAGAGGAATGCGATGAGATGATAACTCAGATATATATGAAATAAATGTGATATTTTTTGGTTCGTCGAATGGCCCGTGTTTAGCCCAGGATAACAAGAACAGAAATGCCAAATAATTCCAAGAAGAATATCCTGAAGCGGTTAAAGCCATCGTTAATGAGCCATCTGCTCCCCTAGGGGAAGCAGATAGCAGAGACATGATACATGTACACAATAAAGGCAGATTCATTATTTGTAATTGGATTTCCAATAACCTGATTTCATTTCAAGATATAGATGACTTACTATTGGCCAATCTTTACAAACATTCTGACTAAAATTTGAATTTTTCAGAGGAAAAAAATTTGGGTATATGGTGGAATCCCAAAAAGGATATCTTTCAATACAAAACAAAATTCCACAGAAGACCGACAAAACGAGAATTTCTCAAAATGTCTTCGATCCCCTCGAATTTGTCGCAAACTTTTTGATACAAGGTAAAATCATATTGCAGAATACGTGGAGAAGTCAGATAGGATGGGACGACGAAATACCAGACAGTTTGATTATTGAATAGGATACATTCATACAAGATTTGAGAAAAGTCGATGATTTTAAATTGCCAAGACAATATTGCGAAATGAATAGGTCCGATTCTGAAATTCAGCTTCATATTGTAACAATTTAAAGAATTAAGAATTAACTGTCTTCAACAAATTTATTTCTAACAATATTTCACTATCACTAACTAATTTATATTCAACATTTAGCAACTAACGCTTAATTTATCTTCACTATTTGAATTCCTTGTTTAACCGCTCGATTCGCTTTCTGAATTCAGACTTCCCCTTTCTAAACGAGGAGCTACCCTTTTATATCGGTAAAGGTCCATCGTAGAATTCTGTAGTCGTTTTGGGACTGGTCTAGACTTTTCGCGGTGGTTTCAGACAGCATTCTTTCGCGGTGAGTCATGTATTTATTCGATGAATTGGCTGGCGTATGGGTCAGGGGCGGCTTCAGATTTGTTACATTGCCCCCGTCTCAAAGACGCTTCACCCCAAAATGTCATCATTGACTTGTGTCGATACTTGCCGGACTCCCCATATCTGCACTGTGAAGTTTGATGGAAGTAACACTCTACGGTCTTCATGCTCGGTCGTGGAAGATGGTTACCGCACACCAAAATCTTGATGCCGCTGGATCTAAAGATCGTTTCCAACATGCTTCTCACAATCCAGCCTGTCGGGCCTAGAGGCTGATTTCGGGATTGCCAAGTTCATGAGATTCTGGTCGAGCATCGTGTCCCTCAGTCTGGTAAGACTCCTCCAGACATCTTCATACGACGGTTTGTCTCGAGAATGCTTTTTGGTCACCAAGTAGAAAATGTTTCTCTGACCCTTCTTCAACTGTAGCACTTCTCCGACTTCAGGATTCTGTTCTCGTAATGTTTGGAGCTGACCAAATTTCGTGTTGAATACCACAGCGATACCCTTGGAATTTGGAGATCCTCTGCCACGCAGTGAGCTAGTGCGTAATCAACTGGAACCTTGAAAAGGTCTCGTGGCTCTTTTTGAGTTACCCCATGTGCGATCTTCTGTCCGTTCGAGTATAATGACATTAACTTCTGAAACGTCATTTCATCCTCTGGTGGATTGAGGGCGCAAACTTGGTCGTTATTTCCAGTATTAGAAGCCAATCTATTGAAATGGACGACCCTAGGCTTTCCTCGAGGTGGCTTATGGATTCGGTAGACAAGGTCATTAATCTTTTTCATGACTTTCTACGGACCTTCCCACGCATTCCGCAACTTCGGTGATAAACCACGGCCTCCCTTAGGGTTGCACAGGCAAACTAGGTCACCATAATGAAGTAAAAGAATTTTGTTTGCTAAAAAAATGTGAAGTGGTTTTTCAACTCACCATTGGCTCCTTTTATGGGTGGATCATGGGAGAGTTTGATGAAATCCACCAAGAAAATTGTGTCGGAAGTTCTTACAAGATATAATCAGGATTATGTTTCAAGGACAGTATTTGTAGAAATGGAAAATATTTTGAACTCGAGACCACTAACCCATGTACCCAATGATCCAGATGATATGGAATCGCCTCCATATCATCTGGATCATTTCTTCATTGGAATTTATTATTCAGGAGATGAATGAAAGGTGTAGATTTAGTTCCGTTGACTTGGAAGCCATCCTAACTTTCACAAACTACACCAGAAACTATTTGATCTTCACAAACTTTATTTCAAAAAATATCACAACAAGTTTCGCTATCACAGTAGCGGATTATACATACTTGGTTAGTAAAACACGTATCGAGAGGCTGTTGATGTTTATATTATCTCAGGGATTTCAAATCAATTTATATCATATTAGACAATGAAAGTCCGAACTGATGAAATGTTCTTATCATTTATTATAAAACCTTTCAGAGGTTTTATCAAAGACGAAAGCAAACGTGTACATTCCTATATGAATATAATGAAGAATGAACGATTATTTTTCAAAAATATTTTTCAGCGACATTTTTGAGTTAAATCACCGAAACTGTTTTATATTTATATATGAAATCATCGTGCCAACAATTCTGATTTCCACTTGTAGATAGTAATTGTTTTTATTCCGATAATGAGCTTGTTATTTGGACATTTTTGAGTATTATCTTCATAAAGGTAGACAACGTTGCATTGTTGTCGTACAAAAGTTCCTGTCGACTAGTAAAGAGCGGACAGTGTTCCTGGATATCACAAAAATGATACTGCGGCTGTCCAAAGTCGTGATATGTCTAATAACTATGTCGAATTCATGGGTCACTTCGGACACAAAAATACTACATGAATATTCTAAATTGATTACAAATTATATCTCCAATGTGGTGGAAAATGCAGCAGGAAAAACCCAGTGCGCAAGTGATTTGAAGAGTCTGGCACATGATTTGATGAATATGAAGAGATGGGCACTCGACAGTAAGTTCTGGATATAACTTTATCATCAAATTGGCACATATCTGTTTTCAAATCTTTCAAGGAACCAAGAAAAATCGTAATGTATATGCCATAGTATTTGCATTTTTCTCAATTATGTGGTATTTTCAATGACGGAAAATCCCAGTAAATTCAAGCCTATCGTAAAACAAATAACTTTTTATTAACGAATAGTTAATGGACCCGAATAAGGAGCTACATAAATGATAAAATAGTCGAAATCAATGAAATAAATGTATTAAAATAACTAAAATTTGAAACTATTATTTCACTAAATGTAAGTTAATCGAATTCAGTCTTCTTTACTAGCTTTTCTCCAATTTTCAGGAATTTTTCTATTTCCTGTTAAATATGATTGGTTGCGAATCTGCCTAATTTCGAATGTAAAATCGTCATTTTCAATGTTTCAAAGCAGTATCATATTTTGTTTCAACAGCTTTCAATTTGATCTAGAGTGACAACAAATGAACAAATGTGCATGGAAAGGTCTGTATAATAAGAAGTTCATATATAAAGTAATACAAATAATGAAATTATGAAACAACATCAACAAAAATTAATTGGCGCTCCGGGCCGACTTGATTGATTCCAGTGGCTATTTTGCTTTTTCGGCTGCAGGAAAACCCGGAAAAACCTGTAGCACCACATCATCTGAAGATCTTGATCTGCCAATGTCCTCTCTTTCTTGTAATAAAATGTAGGGTGTCTCCAGAGGCTCCAATAAATTCAAGATATCGCCAGAATATTTAGTGACACGACTATCGTCAAACTAAAACCAGTCCGTTTCGTCTTTTACCAATGCGTAATAATGACCAGATTCAACGCAAGAACCACAGTGAACAATGATTGCATGAAGATTATAATAGTAGGCTGCTAGATTGAAGTGGTCATCTATTTCGAACTTTCGTAAGAGTTTGGAGCTTCCGTCACATGTTGAGTAATGTTTGAAGATCATCAGTGTTATTATTAGATTGATTGATGCCTCAGCTATACTTGTTGTCTTATGATAGTCAGTTAGTTTTGGGCATATCTGGCAATACAGTTGATCACCACAAATTACGATCTATTTATACCCCAAATGTCAGTCCAAATCAGTTTGCGTGAAAATTCTGAGCAATTGAATTTGAGTAGAGAGAAAATCAGAAGATGTCCCGTTCGTCATAAAATTAAACCTTCTAAATCAAAGTTTTTCCACACATTGAAAGAAGGCGACGAATATAAACGATTAGATTACTGCTATTGGGCCCACGGAAACTCTTTGAATGATATAAATTTCCTGAGAAAAATTTTGTTCACTAATGAGGCTACGTTCACTACCAATATTGCAGATACTGGTCTACTGAAAATCCACACTGAATTATAAACTGTAAGGAGCAATACCACAAAAAGTGGTATTTTAGGCGACAGAATAATTGGACCGTTTTTTCAGTAATATCATTAACGCTGAACGACTATTGAATCTATCCCTCAATGTGCGTCGAAAGATGTACTTATGAAAGTATTTCAGAACCAAGGAGAGTGGCCAATAATTATAGGAAGAGAATTGAAAAATGTATCAGAGTTAAGGGCGGGCCAGTTGAGAGAGAGAGAGAGAGAGAGATAATATTTGGAACATACTTCCAATATCAGTGTTTATTTCATTTCCTTATGAATTTGTTTCATTAATTGTGATTTGATTTTGACCGATGTCTCTGTGACTTTTTAGTAACTAATAATCAAAATTTGAATGTTTTCATAACGAATATTAGGTTTCTCATTCTTATTTTTACATTATAACGAATTTATTATTTTCGTAGCTTCTTATTTTGAACAATTAATTCATTAATTGAAAGTCTGACTTCAATATATAAAAAAAACAAAATTCGAATCTGGGTTGAAATTAGATATGTAGGGTTAAAATCTATTTTCCCTAGATACACTGAAATAAAGCAGCTTTTGAATTTTTTGTTTTTTTACTGAACATGAAAATAAACCAACGCCATTATTTTATAAGGAAGGGGGTGGATTTTAATGTTCAAAAATACTGACCACAGATCCTAAGAAGTTTTGACAGATATAATTTACGTTCGTTTGAAGGTTTCACGGTGAATTTTGGACTTCCCAACTAATGAAATTCAGATTATAATTTAGTTTCCGCTATAAAATCATTAAGAAACAATAAAGATATATCTGAAATCTCTGGATTTCGCAACTCCTACTATTTGAAAGAAAATTTAAAGAGTAGTTTTCCCAATTTCAGAATGGATGTTTGGAAACTACCGACTATTCCAACTACCATTGAAAATTGTCTGAACACCAAGTTTATTCTGAATGATCCATTTCTAACCTCATTATCTATTTCAGTGGTTGATGCTTCTGGAAAAGTATCCAGTGGTATCCTAGCAGGAAATATCTATATGACAGGAAGTTTCGATCAGTGTCTGGAGATAACGGAATCAAAAAACGATACCATGATAAATGGACAATATTGTACGGTATCCATAACCACCAGTAAACAAAATTCGGGACCATTTGATTTTCTGTTGAGTACCGCAACGGTAAGGAACACCTTTAAGAGTTAATTTCAATGATGTAATAATAAATATGGACTGGCCATTCGCCATTGAAGAGATAACATTGACCTCAACAAATAAAAAAATACGTTATTCATACACTTAACGTCAGATACAACGTCACCGTTTTGGGTGTTGCATATTTCCATGTGGAAATTTTGGGATTTGATTTGTCACATGATGCTGTGACGCAGTGGCCAGTGTGATACCTCGGTGGAATATTTGTTAGAGTGACGTAACGCCCAGACTATATTATCATGTCTATGGTTGATCTACGTTGGAAGAAAAGAAACTATTTTATGTACCTATATTGTTCAACGTTGTTGTATACAGTTTCGAGTTTTTCATGAAATTCTGTAAACGCTGCATAAACCGTAAAATTTAGATCCAGTCTAGATTTAGATTCAGTTATGGATTCCCCCAGTGAATTGTATAGTCTATTCCAAGGTCGTGAAAACTATAATAAAATTTGTTATTTAAACATATTTGGAACATGAAACGATACGAAGAAAGATGAAGAAAAAATAAAAGCAAAGTCCAAGATCATCATCCGTAACAGCCTCACGGAAACCAGACTACCAAACACGGACTGCAATTCCAAGAATTTCACTTACCGGATACCCTGTGAGTGTGGCACATTCTATATCGGTGATACTAAGAGGCCATTGATAGTCCTCATTGCCGAGCATAAGAAAAACATACAGTGAAGAGAAACCAGCAAATCGGGAATATCAGAGCATGTTTGGACTCTACAGGGAGGAACGCTGGTTTGAGAGGAAGTTCAAAGAAGCTGCATATATGTCGTCCAATGACGCATTCGGCCAAGCTAGTGTAGATATACACAACCTATAAATAGTCATCTCTCCAAGGAACAGTCCAGTTATCACTCGAAGATGATTGTGGATTTTACTAACAATCGACACGTCGTGAAGTAACTTGGTTTAAAAATGTTTCCAATTTTTTTTTAATTTCATTTTAAAATGTTACATTTTTTCTTTTTTTTTTTATTTTCATTTCATGTTTTATTGCTCGATATAATTGTTATTTTCAGCTATTCATTTAAATTTTATTCGTTCTTTCAGATATTTCAAATCATTTTATATCATATCAGACACTGAAAGTGAAATAATATTAGGTTGTTTCAAAAGTTTTGTCCGTTTTTATGAGTTTACATTAAACTGTAATATCTTAGTGAATACTTGTGCAATTCAATCGAAATGAGCGCCATTTGACTCAGTGCACTTGGTAGTCGGTTGGCGAAATGTCTGGGGAGTATGGTGGATGAGGCAAAACTTCGACGCTCAATTCGTTAAATTTTCGGACGTTGATTTAAGAAACGTGCGGACGGGCGTTGTCGTGTTGCAGAATCGGACCTCTTCTGTTGACCAATGCCGGCTGCTGCTGACGCAACTTTCGTTACATTTCGTCAATTTTCTCACAAAAGGACCCTGCTGTGATGGTTTGGCAAGGTTGCAGAAAGTTATAGTTAATCACACCAGCCGCTGACCCACCATACAATAACCATGGTGGCTCATTGGTGTCCTACCACTGTCCCGAACGACTCCTGTTTTTGAAAAAGATCCACTTTTCATCACACATAAGGATTTGATCCAATATGTTTTAAATCATTGAAAAGCACATGGTCGCCCAATTTTCCCGCCATCCTAGGCACTTTCCACCTACATTGCGGTAGGTCGACCACTTCGGGGTTCATCTTCAAAACTGCAATCTCCAGAACGAATTTCGCAAACCAACGTCGAACAGTGGGTTCATTAACAGTATTATTGCCAAATTCTGGGCTGTTTCGGCAGCGCTTTGGTTCAATTTGAATTCGTAGAGAAAAAATTGGCCGGAAATCGCTCAACATAATATAGTAAACAAGCTGAAAAGAGGCAAACAAAAATTAAAATTTGAAAAAAATAACAGCAACAATGTATAGAGTATGAAATTCTCTATAGATCAATATATAACACGACACAGTAAAATAATTATTTATTGAGATATAGAGCTACAAAAACACGTGACATTAAAACGGACAACACCTTTGAAACAACCTAAAATAAAAAAAATGCACCAAATCTTTCCATATTCAAATTAAGGTTGTAAAAGTTTCTGGTAGAAAAACTTTCTTCAACTTTTGTGAGTTTCAAGTTTGATTTTAATGTGGTGTTCCGACAAGTAAAATGAAGGCCATTTATAATTTTTTTTGTTTTTCCCGAAGTGTGCGCTGATCAGGCCCTATTCTTCGAAGCCCCGATACATTCGGGAAGGCGCGCCATCATTATCAACCAATGACCACTCACCACACCGTGGGGTAAGTGATCATTGTGTTCGAGAATCATGTGCCCTGAGTGAGCACAGTGAGCCAAGAATGACAGCCTTCTGCATCTGTCTGGATAAGATTACTGCTTTAGTTGGGGCAAGCCGGTATGATTTTGAGAGTAGAGAGGGCATTATTCCACCAAAGACTCCAATATAATTAGAACAACCATCTTGAGATAGTGGTCTAGATAGAGTCTGCGGAGTTCGAAGAGATAATCTCGATATTTTTACCGTTCTTCCTCCTCTTTTCGGACGATATTCGTATCGCCAGGAGTTGAAAACTCCACGACAAATATCGTCTTGCTCTGGTGTTCGAGAAGGACTACATCAGGCTCATTAGCTTGTATGAGCCTCAGGATGGGGAACGAATAGTTTCAATAGATTCGGCACTTCTCGTTCCCCACAACAGATTCAATATCCCCCGGAGCGTAGGGCAACACCAGTGTCTCGTCAATACCATAAGAGTGCCATCTGTGGTCATAAAGCACTCTCAGGGCCACGTTATGGATATAAGCCGAGACCGCATATGCTGGACATGCTGACAGCAAGTGCATAACGGTCTCGGATGCCTTACGGCACACCCTGCACCTTGTGTCAGGAAGTTCTATACCCATCACGCGACTGCGGTTGACTGTATTGAAGACACCATCTTGGCAGGTCATGATGGACCCCTCAGTCCACTCGACCTGAGGAAAGCGAAAGTCACGTGTTTTGATGAGCCAAGGTCTTCAATGTTATTGAAGGAGATGCCATGCATTGGCCTATCCTTGTGTGAAGTGATCTCTGAGGCTTTTTTATGAATCTTTTGCTGAACGGGTTCCAACTCGGTGATACAGTTGTGATCACCTCGTTCAGGGTCGAAAAATAAACCGAGTTCATCAGCTGCTCTGGCAGCTGCCCTAAAGAGAAATGCTTCAATTTTTGCTCTCTCTTGGTCGCGGGCCTTGCAGAGAATGGGATCCGAACTCCTGACGAATTTACAGGCTCCATTTAGTACCATTCTGTCATGTAGACACTCCAAACTCAGAAGTTTCCGGCCTCCCTGTTGTCGTGGGACGTACAACCGTACGTGAACAGCCACAGCCACAGTCCGTAGCTTATTCCTGATATGTACCGCTCTTGGTGGAATCAAATGTGCCAAGTCACTCGAACACTTCCCGTGAAAGTATCTATACAAGAGAAACAAATCTGCAACCTTTCTTCGATGTTTTAGACTTTCGAGGTTCCAAGTCATGTTCGCGTCTCCAATCAGGCGGATGGCTTTCTTCTGGATGGAATCCAGCAGCTTCAGGGTATGCCTGGGGGCGGAGCTCCATGCATGAGAACTATAATCCAATGATGGTCTGATCTGAGTTTTATGAAACATCAAAAGTTGCTGAGGTGTGTACAGTTTCCTGGTTCGGAACAGTGTTCCGAATTTTTGAGAAGCGGCTTTTGCAATTCTAGCGACATGATTGTGCCCAGATATATTGTTGTCCATTTTAACCCCCCACAAACTTATCGAAGCCGAAAGTGGAATTGTTTGACCTGACATTATTATATTCGGTTCGAAGATATTTTTTTTGGAGAAAACCGATGACTGGGGTTTTGTGGCATTGAATTGAACTTGGTTAGTTTCATCTCAATTCGAAATTACATTTAGATTCTCATCAAGATATGCAACCTCCTTCTGCCGGTGAAGATGTGCATCCGCCGCCGATGTCTTGGAATCCAAATGGAATGAAGGAACAAGTGTGCTGTTGTCAGCAAAACAATATATTGAATTCTTGTTTTTTTCTAATAAGTCGATTATTTCCATTTCATGTTTTATAGCTCGATATAATTGACAGTTTCAGCTATTAATTTAAATTTTATTCGTTCTTTCAGAGATTCAAAATCAAATTAGAGTTATATTAGACAATGGAAGCCCGAACTAGTAAAATTCATAATGAACCATTGTCAAATACTTTCAAACAAACGTAGCTTGATGTGTTTAGGAAACTACTTAGTATAGACCATGTTTAAAAAATCATACGACTAATGTATGTTGCATGAATTAGAGGTTATTTGAACTCGCTCACTTCTTTAAATCGCATAACACTGAAAAATTACGGTATTTCAAGTAGTAGCTGACCCACTTCCACAAATCGATTTGATATTTGGTACACACATTTAGTTTTGATGACAATACAATTAAATAAATTCAGTATCATTGTGAATCCAAGATGGATTAAAAAGTTAGAAGTTCATTATTCATTCTACTGTCAATTACAAGTTAGACGTTGTTTTTTGTTTTAGTTTTACGAAAAATTACTGTCATTTAATTTAGATTTTCGCAATAAATAACATAATTATCTGAAAGTGTTTTTATTTCATGAAATAGTAATATACAGGGTAACATTTAATTAGCTGATAATATTTTGGGCAGAGATAGTTCCAAATAAATTTAGTTATAAAAAAATCCGTTTGCCACCATTACTTTCTTGGGAAAAGTTGTTCATACTGATGGATACTATAGGTAATTCTCCAAAATCTAATCAGCTAATTAAATATTACCTCTATACATAGGTATATACAGGCTGATTCACGGTGGATGGCACATTAGACGTTTCTGGTGAACCAGACAACGGATCACTTTGAAAATTTAATGGAGGGCATATTCGGACATTCTCTAGCCAACTAAAATATTTTCGACAATGCGGTGTTGCCGCTTCTATT